GGACAGCACCACCTCTCTGACTCTACCAACACATATAACTCATGTCATAGGCTTAGGCCACCTCCACACCACAGCTGCCGCCGCCCTTTGTGGCCGTCCTGTGGTACTGGCACCTCCAAAATGCTGGGGCTTCCACTGCAGCCCTTAAACAATAACTCCCCCCACCCCGCCATGCGGTACTAAGTCTTAACTTCTCCCCATGGTCCCTCTGATCCTGGGGTTCCAACTGAGGCTGCACCTTCACCAACGGCCTCTCAGTGCCACACCTTAGCTGATCTCCATGACTCCTTCAAGCCTTCAAAATGACTACTGCCTGGGGAACTCTCACACGTTATCAATTTTAGATACCAGCTAGAGACAGCCACGGCCCACCCTGGACCATGGCTTCTGCATGCCCAACGTGAGGAAATCGATGATGCTGGGCTTGTCTTAATCACAGCTGACTCTTCAACAGGTCCTTCATTCAAAACATCACACGAGAGGCCCCAATAGAGTCTTTAAGGGACTCTCAAATTTCCCTCTGGAACTTCACGGCCCGGGCCTCCATCGTCCTCACTGCTCCAGCTTTATCTTCCGAGTTCCCACAAGAGCTCATTAAGCTCTGAACACACAACATCTTTTCAAGCCGCGTTCTAAAATCCTTCACAATCCTCCCATGACAACACGGTCAGGTCTGCCTCTGCATTAATTTCCTCTCTGGTGCCAATTTCTGCCTCTAACTTTCTGTGGTTGTGATAAAGATCGCACTAACAGCAACTTGGCCAGGGAGGAAAGAGTTCCTGTCTCCCCTCACAGGCTACAGCCGTTGTGAAGAGGAACCTGAGGCAGGAACTGAGGCAGCAGCCTTGGAGGAGTGCTGCTCACTGGCTTGCCATCCTTGACTTGATCACCATCTTGATACTACTCGGGATCATCTTCCCAGTACACCACCCCAGTGGGCTGGGCCCTCCCCGTGTCAAGCATTATTTAACAGAGCGCCCTACAGAATTACCCACAGGAAATGCGATGGTATCAGTCACTCAATTGACATCCTCTTCCAAGATGATTCTAGATTATGTCAAGTTGACAAAAAAGCAACCAGGACATTTTTACAAATTTATTTAAAAGCAATTCTTTAATGTATGTAGATATACATCTTACCGTTTATTACTGACAAAAGCAAATTCATATGGTGAAGAGGATATGCTTGTTTTTATGGGAAGAATTAAATCACGGCTGAATGTTTGATACTGAAGAACACATACTGTTAGGGGGAAATCTTGCCCCTTCCAACCCTGCCCCTCAGAAAACCTCCCCCGGAGATGCCCAAGGCCATGCCCACAGGGTACTTGAGACCTGGACACTAGACCTGCCACAGTTTCTAACCCTTGAGTTCCTTGGCCTACAGCCATTTGTGTCAGAATCTAATAGAAGACCATTTGTGTATGCTGTCTATGCTGTGACGGTCCATGTCAGCCGAACTGGTCCCAGAGGACATTATTTCCGTGTTATCAAAGCTGGCAATGGCCGGTGGTATAAGATGGGTGATTCTAACATCTCCTGGTATGATGTGGCTTCTGTCCTGAGAGAGCCTTCCTAAGTGCTCTTCTATGTCCAGCAGACTGACCTCAAAAAAGGACAGTGTCACTGCGCCTGTAGGCGGAGTGAGCGAGGCTCTTAGCCCCTAAACGCCAGGTTGGGAAAGCCCAGCAGAGAAAGCTCAACAGAGGATCTCACATGGAAACTGCAGAGCCACAGGGACACATGGAGAATACAGAAACCAAAGAAATCTCCTTGGACCACTGGAAAGTCCTTCAGAAGCACAGCAGCCCGCAGCCTGCGCTGAATCTCAGGACAGTTGAACCCACTCTGCCAGCCAAACGCAGATTCACAAGTCCAGACACAGAGGAAAGAACTGTCCTGACAAGGAGAATTACCCTGGTTGCAATTCCGCCAGGCTCCTGTCTGTTGTGGGTAGGGGTAATGAAACTGCACAGCTCTGCAGTCAGGGAGAGAGACCAAGAACAAGGATGGGCTGGCATTCTGTTTACTAGCGCTCTACTATTGAAGCAAAAAATGAATTCTCCCACCAGGTAGGACAGAGTGTCTCACCCTTCAGGTGGTCTCCATCCCTCTGCTGTGTCCTTGCTTGACCCCCGCTGAACCCCGAGAATGACAATTTGTATGTGGAAGAAACTGCTCCGGGTCCTGATAAAAGTTAAACCCTAGAAAGCTCTGGATTCTTGGGAGCAGTCTGCAGCGCCCTCTGCTGGAGATCATCGGCTTTGAGCAGGGTAGACTCACCTCCCATAAGCTCTTGATTCGGGATTTCGACTCAGCCAGGACCGTTTTTTCAAACCCATATTTGATGAATATTTCCTATAAAAATTTTCTCTTGTGTTTGCTGTATAGAACACATTGTAAGGAGGTTTTTGATTCATTGTGCTTGAAATGAAGTCTTTTGACGAAATAAATTCCGTTACCTGACACTTTGTCAGTCTTCCATTTTGTCGTAAATGCATACTGAATATTGTAGTAGCATTGACCTCATAGATGTTTTTCCATAATTTTCTTTAGATAGGTATATTTCCGAGACATAAAGTACAATGAGTGAAAAGCTTGCCTGGGGTAAATAACGTGAAGAATGGCAAGAGGATTCGAGTTTTTCTTTAAAGAATGTCCGTCCTGGAATAGCAGGGCACACACAGGCGCTATGAAGGGGAAATGGGAAAAATGTAGGTGTAGGAGAGGAAAGGGGAAGGAATGTTTGAAGATGCCAGCCGTGAGGGGGTAGCTAGAGAGATGGTTAATCGAGTCAACACTGTTAGCGTAGGTGTAGGTGAGCCAGCCCTGAAATCGTGACTGTGGGAGAGCTGTGCCCGTTTGTCATCTGGCAGACCAACCCCACAGCTGCTCAGGCCCAGACCCAGCAGGCACCCCATCTGTTATCTGTTGACCCACAAACCCAAAGTCGCAGGATCTCCACAATATAGGACACTAGTAGGATTTCAGGTCCTAGTGGGGGCCCAGCATTGAACGTGTAGTGAAGACCAGGGTCCTTGAACCAGACCAATGGCTCTGCAATGAACGCTTGCAAGTAGAGGTGTATGGCCAAAGGGGGGGGTACCGCATGACTTGTTGGGTCGCACTGCAGCTTCCATGGCGAGATTTTTAATTCCTTCCCCCTTTTAAATTTTTTCTCATTTTATTTTCTTCCATGTTTTCTCTTGAATTTCGTTTTATTCTGGAGGGGGGAGGGCTGACGCAAAGGGATGGAGAATGCGTGGGATCAAGATACATGCTGTGAAAAACAGATAATTAAAAAAAAATAAAGAACTGGCTACTCTTCCAAAGGGGGGTCTGACTTTCAGCACCCACGCTGCCCTTCACAGCCTTCTGTAACTCCAGTTCCGAGGGGATCAACTCCCGCTCTTGGCTTCGGCAGGCACTGGGCACACCTGATGCACAGACATGCACACAGGCAATAGCCCACACGCATAAAAACAAACAACAGCAGAAGGCTGGAGAAACTGGTTGCTCTTGCAGAGGTCCCAGGGTTGGTTCCTAGCACCCAGATTTGCCCCTGGTATCTTAACGCTAGCTGACTATCCACAGCTGGATGACGTGACATGTGCAGCCCTTTATGGATTCCCTTCTGCACTGAGGCCTGAGCTAGAGCTGAGGTTCTGTTCCATTCAGCTAAAGTAACCGTGACCTTGAGGTGGACGGAGCAAGGGGAGGTATAGTCAGAGCGATGCTGCATCAGGAAGGGGTATTGACAGCCTGTGCCTATAGCACTTACCAAAACTTACAGCAAAATGGTTAGTTCTTGTGTGGGAAAATTGTTTGTCTGGGTAAGTATAAGGCAGACATAATCTGTAAACAATTGTGCCGTTTGTTCATAGGAGCAAAACATCAAACAGTTAGTTGAGGCTTTTACTTTTGAAGTATTTAAAAAGTAAAAAAAATAATTTAATTTAAAATTTTAAATTAAGCAATAAAATTTAATTTTTCTATTGGTTAATTTAAAATTATTTCTATTTATATTGATTAATGACTGGAAGTTTTTAGCCTCTTCTATTAGCTTTTAGCTTCTCTCTGTCTCTCCTTTTTACTCTCTTCTCCACCCTCTCTGGTTTATCCTTTGCTTTCATATACTTCTGATTAATTCTCATACACTTGAAGTCTTCATATATTTATACCAAATCATTTTCTCCTAACCTTACTCCAGACCCTTCCCCTCTCCCCAGTGATCTCTTTCTCTCTGCTCTGGTATGGTCTGGAAACCCTGCATCCTGTCTTTTAATTTATCTGTTCTGTTTGTGTGGATTTAACTATGTTTTATAATTTTATCTTCTTTGTTGCTAGTTGTTAATCTGTTGAGTTCCTATTACAGTTGGAAAAATATTTTTAATAGAATAATGTATTGGTTTTTCAAGACAGGGTTTCTCTGTGTAGTCCCAGGTGTCCTGGAACTCATTCTGTAGACCAAGCTGGCCTCGAATTCACAGAGATCCACCTGCTTCTGCCTCCTGATGGCTGGGATTAAAGATGTGTGCCACAGCTGCCCAGCCAGGAAACAGGACTTTAAAAAAGATTCTTATTTTTATTTTATGGTTATTTGTGTTTAGCCTGCATGTATGTATGTGTTATTTGTGTTTAGCCTGCATGTATGTATGTGTAACCAGCATGTGTCTGGAACCTGTGAAGCAGAAGAGATTGCTGGATGCCCTGGAACTGGAGTTAGAGATGGTTGTGAGCCAACATGTGGGTCCCGGGAGACTGAACACAGGTACTCCCGAAGAGCGGCCCTTTCTCCAGTGCAAGAGGAGTCTCTCACACTTACATATTTTGCTTAAATTTGGAAATGCCATAAAGAAGTGATCTCTGAGCATATTTGAAATCAGTATTTAGTTTTATTGGCTAGCGGGAATAGAATCTGATTTAAGAGCTGAAAGTGTTCAGTGTGGTGATCCCGTTGCTCTAGAGGCACAAAGCTCTTCTTGAGTTTTTTTGCCATACTTTTATTTTAACTTGGTCTTGACGGGTTCTTGATAGTCTGAAAAGATAACTGGTGTTGGGATTGGCACAAGAATCCACCAGAACCTGCAGCATTTCCATCGTCTTCGGCAAGCACCGATTTCATCTTCTACTACTTTGCAAATGTCTCGTCTGCAGGTGCCCTCCAGGTTGAGACAGTGGGTCTCAGCAGCACCTAAGCCACTTCTAACTGCAGGGAAGAGATCAGAGCAGCAGTTAGCCCTGCGTGTGGATGTCAAAGCATCAGCACCATTGCACGGGAACAGCATCAGCACCATTGCACGGGAACAGCATCAGCACCATTGCACGGGGACATAACAATTGTGGGCTGAGTACCTGTCTCTGTGAGGAAAGGAGCCAGATCAAAGATCCCCTTAGCAGCTCCTTCACACTGAAATACATCCACCCTCTCTCCCCTTCTCCCAATAATTTATTCACAGATCACTCCTGGATTTCCTTATACATATATGAAAAGTGTAGATAACACTTCAGAAGTTACTTCATTAAATATCAGACTGTAACAAGAAGGAGAGAGACAAATAGATGCCCTAAATATACTGATGTCTTCTATATGCAGAATGTCAACAAATTCTTGCTATTCACTCGTCAAACACTTCTCTTCATTATACTAGAACAGTACAAATGGCCCAAATACACAGAGGTTACAACTGATCAAAAAATCTAACCATGCAAAAACCAAAACCAAAACCAAATGAACAAACCATGGAGTAATGAGGTGATTCCAAAAATTGCAAATGATTCAGACAAAATGATACAGTAATGAATCAGATAGAGCCTGGGGGACAGAACCAATAAGAGAGACAGACTTCCTGCTTCCTGAGGTCATGAAAACAATAAGCCATTATCCAAGTGAAAGTTCAAAGAGCACACAGGACAGCAAGACCTGAGCCCCCAGACTAAGACTTGGATGGATCAAGCATGTTAGAAAGTCAGGCGAGATTAACCAGGATCCGGCTTGTGCCAGGCTTATGGACCAGGGCAAGGGTGAAGACTCACATCTCTGACGTTGTTGTTGCCTTACTTCATCTCCCTTCCTGACGGTTATGACAGTTGTCTTAAGGTTTGCTCTTCTTACTTCTTCTCTCCCTCTCTCCCTCTCTCCCTTTGATAGGGCAGAATCGAGATTTCATGGGAAAACATTGTAGTCAGTTGTCGTGCTAGTCTATGCTGAGCTGATTTTCCTATTTTATTTTTTAATTGATATACACATATAATGTCATACAGCATGAGGTCAAACATTATCAGTTCATATTGTCGAATCACGGTTTCCACTGGGTGAGGCTGTCTCTGTATGGAGCGGGTGTCTGCAGCACTGATATATACTGAGAGAATTTGGCTCCAGACTCAGCCTGTAAGTTAACTCCTTAGAGCAGTGGCTGTACATTTTACATTTCATGCAGACTTTGACTACTGGTGTACATGGCCTCAGTGGCTCTATGATCTGTTGCATGAGTGAATTCACTATGGCGACGGATTTGGTAACTAGTGCATAGGCATTTGCAGAGAGGTGTAGTTCATGAACTCTGCTTGTGAAGTTCAATATATGAAAGGCTCAGTATTTGAGGAGTAGACATAGTAGGAAAGACAGCCGGAGTTCTGGTGTTGGGCCCAGTAGGAATATTTGCAACTTTAGTTAAGAGAACTGGTAGCTCCAATTTCAGAGTGAAACAATGGTGCCTACTTCTTTGTAGGGGTGGCTAAGGTGAGCATCATCTCTCTGTTTCCATATCCCTGGGAGGATTGGTTATTAATTACCTCAATGGCAAAACATCCCAGAGCAGGCTGCTTGTGGACCACGAATGTGGCTGATAATGATAATGTCTGCCTTTCCTTTTTGCTCATAGCCATTTCGTGTGGTCTTCTGATGCCAACTCCCAGAAACCCTTTGTGTGCGAATAATCAGGTTTTCTTTTCCTTTTGCTTGAGCCTTCAAAGGATACTTTGGTTAAGCAATTGTTATATGTATCTTGTGTGTGTGAATGGGATGGAAGTCACTATCTCCTACTCTTCATTTTGATGGAATTACTCCTCCAAGCTAAAATTCTTGTCTTTCAATTTCTTCATGTTTTGTTCAGCTTAGAAGGAAGCAGGAGTTGGCTTTTCTTCCATATTTATTCCTGAACTATCTACTTCAGTAGTTAAGTGTATCTTAGTCATATGCTATCAGTTTTCTGTTTGCTTAATATGTCAGGGGTAGTATAAAAAAACAAAAAATACTATAGATGAGAGAAAGAATAAGCAAGTGTGAAGATTATAAACTACAGTTGAAAAAGCAGACAAAATGTTAATGACAAATTCTATAATGGTGACAGGAGAATTTGTGAAGAAAGAGACATACTTAAATTATTTACTCAGAAGACAGCACTGAAACCAGACTGACCCAACACAAAGGAAAGAATAAGAGGGTCAGCATTTCCAGGGGTTTTCAGTAGTAAGTCATGTAGAAGCACAGCCCCAGGAAATCAAGAAAAGGACTTTAGGAGATACTATGCAAAATGCCAGTTAGTTGGAAACATGAAAAAACAAACAAATATAAGATAGCAAATACTCTGAGACACAATTTACATCACTGAAACAGACAAAAAGGAAGGTAAATATAAGTGTGCTTGTAAAAGAAATGTCAATAAAAAGTGTCTATCTATTGTTGTAGAATTGGGTTCTCAGAAAATCCACCTTCCAAGAAAAGAGTTAAGTAGGAGCCTGGATTAGGTTCCCAGCACCCACATGGTGGCTCACAACCATCTGTAACTCCAGTTCTAGAGGATTCAATGCCCTCTTCCGGCTTTCATGGGCATGCATATACTTGGTGTTTAGACATAAATGTAGGCAAAACACTCAGACATATAAAATTAAAATAAATAAATCTTTTAACAAAATTGAAATGTTTTACCAAGAAGACATCTGCAAGAAAGAAATGATGTTTCTGGAGGAAGCAATGCAATTTAGATGGACTTCAGAGCCAAGTTAAAAATCTGTGCTAATACCACCAAATTGATTATATTAATAAGTGCTCTCCACCATTTGTAGATCTGGAAGGAGCAGAATCAAACGTGACTCAGTTTGGGATATAGAGAGTTACAAAAGCAAATGTTCTTTTCCTAAGAAAGAGCACAAGTTGAATAGTGCTTGTAAAACAGACCCTGGAGTTTAGAGCTCACTACGGAGCCGGGGGGCTTAGTGAAAGCTAACTGAGAATTACCCAGCTAAAGGGAAGAGACTGGCAGATGTTTGCACGTGTGGCTGAGTGGGGAGAAAAAGCAGTTGCCATTGACATATATGAGAAGAGAGTCCTAAATTTCAAGCCAACGTCTGTAGGAAGAAGACGATGCTTTTTATTGTTGTTGTTTTGTTTTTATTTTTTAGCATCTCCAGGGTCTCAGTCACATTTTGACTCCCTCTTTTTTATGACCTCCTAGAGCAGTGGTTCTCATCCCATGGGTCATGACCCCTTTGGGGGTCAAACACCCATTTCATATGGGTTGCCTAAGGACATCAGGAGGCACAGATATTTACATTATGATTAATAACAGTAGCAAAATTACAGTTATGAAGTAGCAAATACATGCATGCATACACACACACACACACACACAGTTTTGTTTTTTCAAGACAGGGTTTCTCTGTGAGCTTTGGTGGTCCTGGAACTCACAGAGGTCCACCTGCCACTGTCTCCTGAGTGCTGGGATTAAAGGTGTGTGCCACTACCGCCCTACTACAAGACTAATTTTATGGCTGGGAGTCACCACAACATGAGGAACTATATTAAAGAATCAGAGCATTAAAGGCTGAGAACCACTGCTCTAATGAGTATTTATTAAGAAACATAGGACAACTCCATGTGGTGGGCACACAGGATATATTCCAATTTGAGGTCCTCATTGGAGACTATTAAGACCTTCCTTGGGGTCTCAGATCACAACCTCCACCCCTGTAAAGGGAGCACAGGGGCTGAGGGAAAAAAAACTCCTGTCTCTTTAGTTACAAATACACAGGTAGACAGATTGATAAAGTTGATGACAGGGCAGAAGACAAGATGTACTATGGGTATGAGGCACCTAATACCCCGAAATGAACTGAGAGACAGGAACTCCAACAGAGCCCCTTTGAAGTACAGCAGTGGAGAATCCCTGATGATAAGCGGAGGTCCAACATGTCCATCTGGTACAGCAGCCACAGCACTCTAGTGGCAGAAACTACTCATAGAGGAATGTGAGAAAAACATCATGAGTTCCATTTTAGACTTACTAATTTTGAAATCAAACATCTAAATAGAGACATCAGGTGAGCCATTGGATCTTTCATTCCAAAACTGGAGTTTTAAAGAAAATTCCAAGGGAGACTTTAAAGGGAATGAGACTAGCTAAGTCCCTTAACAAGTGAGTGGATGTAGACCAGAAAAGAGGATCAGGAACCGAGCCCTGGTGTTCCCCTCCAGGAGGAATCACCAGAAATGAGGAAGCAGTGGCAGAAACTGAGGAGGAGCCATCAGTGAGGTAGACTGAAAATTAAGTGAAGCTTCCATCCTGGAGTATTTGGGGGAGTATGGCACATTATAAAGACAGGAGGGGCAGGCTTGGAAAAGCCTGCTAATGGGCAAAGTAAGTTAACAATGATGAGTAGCTAGTTGGGCCAACAGCCCGGCAATTATTAATGACTTGTGCAGGGAGGAAGAAAAAGCTTTTTTTAAATGAGTGGGTAAAGACAAAAGAAATTTCAACAACAGAGTGGGAGGGTTGGGAAGAATATTTGATGGGTATACATTTAAGAGGGAATGAAAAGGGATGCTTTCAATTGCAAAACCACACGTCATGATTTTAAGGCATTTTCCACAAAATGGAACAGGAGAAGCAAAGACAGAGTTTTTTTTTAAAGATCAGATAAACATTAAAATATTTGTATCTTGATGGTGATGGCCCAATATGAATATTATTAATGTAAAATCACTGATTTTACACTCTTCTGAGAAAGTGATGCCATCACAGATGTTCCTGCCAGTGTTCTAGAAGAATGCTTTGTATTGTGTATTTAGGTTCCTAAATATACAGAAGGAGATGGAATATATCACACACATTTATAATAAATCTTACAGTTTTTCTTTAAGTCTTGGGAACATTTGCTGTGATATCAACCCAGTCATCTGTAAAATGGCTATTTTAAGTATGTTCTAATCTTCTTGATCATTATTATCAGATTACTATGAAGTATGACATTCTTTTAATAAACACATTTTTGTTTTGTTTTATTGATCTTCTATTTCCTTTGTTTCTTGTGTTTATTAGTTCTTGTCTGATTTAGTCTTTCAATTTATTATGATACCTTTTCTAACAACACATAACGCATTCTCAGCCTACTAAATTTCTGTAGTTTTGCCATTCTTTACATCCATCCTTATGTTTTCAGTTACCAAGTATAAACCTATTATACACCAAGTCACTACAACTTGGTGCCTTTGCTTATTATTTGTTTGTAATTGTTGCCCTCTTTTCATTCCACAGGTCCATTTTGCAAAGCATTTTTCGTGTATAACAACTTTTACAAAGTGTGTTACTTTGACTTTTGTTGGCTTACATTTTGACCCATTTCACAAAGCCAATAACTTCCCTCGCTAACTTCCTGTTGGCTGACAGGAACTCCGACTTTTCACTTGTTTTGGAATAATAATCACTCCATAGATTTGTCTCTTTCCATTAAATTTCCAGGCGTTTATGACCCTCATTCAACATTACTTCACTCTGAAGAGATTCCATCCTTTTCTTTTGAGATAGTGATGTAATCACAGATGTTCCTGCCAGTATTCTAGAAGATCTAAGCATCTACAAAGAAATTCCCATGCCTCACAAGAAACCCAGAGACACAACAAAAGGATATAGTACTATCTGACCACATTTGGCATTTGGGTTAATGGTAATGGATGTCTGTCTCACTCTGACATAATCTAAGTGTAGCTGTTGATATTAGGTTTCTGAACCTGTGAAGTTAATTAATTTCTCACCTTCCAGAGAGACTTTTAAACTGAAGACCCCCATGCTCTATAATTAGCCATCAACTTACCTGGGGGTAAGAAGGCCAAAAGGAAGAGAAGAATATGGAGAAGCAGATGAAATCTCATGGCTGAAGGGTCTGAGATGTGAAGATGTAGAGAAACCTGTTGGAGTCTGAAGACGTGGACTATGGCAGATCCAGAGCTTTTTATGATGGTCCCAGGACTGTGGTTTGTTCTTGGCTAGCAGAGCCTAACCAAAAGAGAATAACTTATTCTCCCACATGAAATCTTCAGACACACAAGAGGACATAAATGGATGAAAAAGCAGTAGACCCAAAATAGCCAATACAATTGTTGAGGGAAAGAACAAAGTCAGAAAACAAACAATACCCAACCTCAATACTTACTGTAACAAACTCCCAATAATCGAGATAGATTACAAAATAGTAAATCAATACATCAATAAAAGAATATAAAAGTCCTAGAATTAGACTTACACAAAAATTGTTGCTTTTTTTACAAAAACCAAAGATTATTCAGTGAGAAAAAATTAATTTCTCAGCAAATAAAGTTATAGCAAAACTTGAAACCTACATTTAGAACTATATATCTAAGTGCATATCTTATAACTGTCACAAAAATTAAGTTAAGACTGATGGTATTGCTCAACATAAAACACAGAGTGGTGTGATGCCTAGAAAATAATGTTGGAAAATATCTAGGTGACCTAAGATTTAACATTAACTTTTTAAAATATGAAATTTCAAAATCATGACTTAAAAAATAGAACTGACAACTTAGACTTCATTAAAATTAGCAGCTTTTCTTATGTGAAGGACATTCTTAAGATGATGCTGAGAGAAAGGGTAGATAAAAAAGCCTCTATAAAATATTTAATAAAGTTCTGGTATATAAGATATATAAACAATGCCTAAAACTTGATAATAGAGCAAGCAACACAAAATCAGATGAAAAGAATGAACAAGAGTTTTGCCATAGATGGGCAGTAAGCAAATGTACTAAAGAGAAAAGGAAAAGAAAACTCGCTCAACATCATACTTTATTGTACTTGTGAACATCACAGTAAAATCCCATTACAGACCAAAAGGCCCTAACCTGAAATACCAGCCCTAATGGATATCAGAAATGGTGTGAAGAAACAGGAACATGAACTCATTATAGGACACCAGTACAACTTTGCCACTGAGTAAAAATGATTAGCAAAATTTACCTTTACCATGTTAATTCTTGAAATCTACCTAAATAGAAAGCTTTATACCCATACAAAACCTGCACATGAACTAAAATTAACAACTTTTTAAAATTGTTTAAAACCTAAAAAGCTAACAAGATATTTTCCAATGGACATCCAGATACAGGAAGCTTTAAGAGTCCAATGAGACATGACTTTTAAAAAAAACTGCTCCAGGATGCATTATAGTTAAAATATCAAAAACTCAGGACAAAGGAGAACATTTAAAGCTGCAAGAAACAAAATCCAAGTCACTTATAAAGACAAACTGGTGATAAACAAAAGCCAGTTTGTCACCAGAAGTTATACAACTCAAGAAGACATGGAATGATATGCTTCAGGCCCGGCTAGAAGATGACTGCCTAACTAAAATACTATATCCTACAAAGGTACCCTTCAAAATTGAACAAGAAGTAATGACTTCTCCAAAATAAATACAAACTAAGACATGTATAAGCAATAGACTGGCGTCACATAAAATACTGGGAGAAATCTAGACCAATGCCACCATGAGAACATGAGAAAGGATATCACTAGAAGAAAAGCCAAGCAAATGAGGAGAAGCCATAAATAACAGAGTAAAATGCCAGACCTCCAACATGAATGAAGGAAAAAAAAAGAAATGAACACAACTAAAAAAAAAAAGACTTAAAAACAGCAGAAACTAGTACATGCCTTTTAAAAATAACCTTGAATATAAATGGTCTTAGTTGAAAGACGTAAAATGGTTGATTTGATTTTTTAAATCAACCAATCAATCAATCAATAAATCTTAACAACTTGCTACTTGTAAGAAACTCACCTGGCTGGTTAAGCTATTCTCAGACTGGATATGGAAAGAATAGAAAACTGTATCCAGGTGAACAGAAGACAAAGTCCAGCAGGAGGAACCATATTCATAGTTAATACAGCAGACTTCAAGGCAAACTCGGTCAGAAGAGACAATTGACAGTCATCACATATTGCTAGAGAGACAACAGGTCAAGAAGGTAGGCGTGTGTGTGTGTGTGTGTGTGTGTGTGTGTGCGCGCGTGTGTGCGCGCACATCTAAAACATCGTATATACAAATGATGTCAGACTACACAATTTTATAAAAATATAATACTGGGTATAAGTCAAGAAATAGCAAGTGATTTTAATGCCTCTCTTTCATCAATGGATGGGTATCCAAACAAAAAAAATTAGCAGGGAACCCTGAAGATAAACACTATATTAAAAGGACTTAACAGACATCTACAAAATAGCCTATTCAATAGTCCCAGAATACACATTCTTTTTGTCAGCTCACAGAACTTTTCCCCAAAACATATCATGTCTTCAACCATGAATCAGATCTTAAAAATACCAAAAAATAGCATAATTTCTTGCATTTTATTGAATCATAACTGAATTAAGCTAAAAATAAACAGCAAGGGAAAAGTACAGAATTTTTTAGCAAGTGGGGAATTACAATTACCCTTGAACAGTGTCACTGAAGGAAAATGAGAGAATTAAAATTTTCCAGGATCAAAGGAAAATAGCAATGCAATATACCACGGACCTATGAGAGGCAGTGAAAACAGTCCTAAGAGCAAGGCTTATAGATATGAATTTATAAGACAAAGAGATGTCAAATGAATAGCCTATTGTTTTCCTCAGGATCTTAGAAAAAGAGCCAACAAAATGGGTCAGCAAATAAAGGTGCCTGCTGCCAAGCCTGATGACCTGCGTTGAATTCCTGGCTCACACACGGTGGAAAGAGAGAACAGAGAACCATTGTCCTCTGACCTCCAAATATCACGCTGGAACCTACATGTGCACATGGACACATACACTAGATAAGTAAGTACATAGACATTATAGAAATAATAATTCAGCAAATAGGATACAAAATAAATAACCTTTTTTCCTGCATACGAATTTTCTGGGAAAGAATTAAGATGATTATCACATTAAGGGCCACATCCCTAACCCACCTGACGGACCCCCCTCCCAAAAATTCTTATGAGTAAACCTAACCAGGGAGATGAGAGATCAATACAAAGAAAATTATAAAACACTGTACAAAGCAGACATGTAGACAAATGAAGCATATTCAAATAGAAGACCCATAAACAAGGCCACACATAACTACCTGGGAAGGCAGATTCTCCAGATGTTGGAGAGAAAAACCAGATGCTTGCCTCTTGTGTACAAAGTCAACTCTAAGTAGCTCAAAGACCTCAATGTAACACATGACATTTCTAAAAAAAAGTGTGGATAAAAATTCATGATATTGATATAAAAACAGGCATACTTCTAAATAGGACACTACTAAGGAAATGATAGGAATTGACAAATGAACTTGCATCAAATTCAAAACCTCCCGCATAGCAAAGGAATCCATTTCTGAAGTGAAGAAAAAGTCTTGAGGCTTGAGGGATATCTCAGCAAGTAAAGGTGCTTGCCGCCAAGCCTGACAACCCCCGGGCCCCACATGATGGAAGAAAAGAACCAACTCCTGCAAAAGACAATAATAATTTAAAATTTATTTTCAATTAAAATAGAAATGCTATGCAGGATGGGCAATAATCCTTGCCAGCAACTCATCCATCAGAAGATTAATAGCTAGAATATATATAAAGAATGCGTAAAGGTAGCACCAGAAGAAGAAAAAAGCCAACCACTGAAAATGGACACAAGAACTGGGCAGACACTTCTCAAAGCAGTTGACTATGCCCAATCACTGTGTGAAGAAACATTCAGTGTCTTTAGCCATCAGGAAAATACCAATTGAAACTACACTGACATTCCTTTTACTCCAGTCAGAATGGAATCAACAACAAAACAAACACAACAATTAAAAAAGCAATGCCAGAGAGGGTTCAAGGGTGGGGCAGGGCTGAGTGTTCATAGACCATTGCTAGGAATTTAAACTAGTATATCTGCAATGTATATCAACATAGAGGGTCCTCAAAAAGCCAAAAGTAGAATTACCACATGATCCAGTTGTAACATCCCTGGATATGTGCCAAGAGAACTCAACATCAGCACCTACTGATACATATATACGCCTGCATACACATGTCTGTCATATACTCTTCATGCTGGCCAAGGAACCCGCCTAGGTATCTGTGGGTTTGAATGAGAAATGTCTTCTTAGGCCTAGGTGTTTGAACACTTTGTCCCTAGTTGGTAGCACTGTTTGGGGTGGGGGAAGTAGGAAGTACAGCTCTCCTTGAGTAAGTGTCTTACTGGGGAGCGAACTTGGAGAGTTTTAAAGCCTCCCCTGGGTCACTTGCAGTTCACTCTCCCTGCTTCCAGTGCTTGCAATTGATGGTATGAGCACCCAGACTCTTGCTCCTGCTGCTGCTGCTACTGCTGTGAGGCTCGCTCCCCTGCCTCCCCGCTGCGGCGTATTCTTCTGTCTCTGGGACTCTCCCACCTGTAGATAAGTCGCTTCTGCTTATGGTGTGTTATCACAGCAACAGGAAAGTAACTAATGCAATGTCTATCAGTGGATGGACGTACAAAGCTTATGGAGACAATGGTGTGTTACCAGCCATAAGGAAGAATGAAATCATGTCATTTAAAGGAGAATGATGGAACTTGAGATGGTAGTGTTGGATGAGACAAGACAAACTCAGGAAGATAATGATGCCATGTATTCTTTCACTAGGTTAGAAGCTGGAGAGGTGGCTCAACAGTTCAGAGCACTTGCTACTCTTGCCAAGGACTCCAGTTTAGTTCCCAGAACTTATATCGAATGGCTCATAACTGCCTGTAACTTCAACTTCAGGTAATCTGACATTCTCTGGCCCCCACATGCACATAAACAGACAGACAGACAGACAGACACACACACACACTAAAGTAATAAATGATAAGTCATTCAGAGAACAAATAAATTTAATTAAATAAATAATAAGACTTGGAGATATAAAAGGGCCTGTTATGAGAAAGAGAGAGAGAGCCGGAGTGATGAGAGGAAAAAGCAGGGCCGGTGAATGTGAGCCAACTACA